CCCCCCCCCCCCCCCCCCCCCCCCCAACTCCTAGACAAAGGTTATTATAGCAAGACTGTTTAAAAAAAGGTTTGGTTTTTTTTGTTTTGAGGCTTGTTTCCTTTTCTCAGGTTTACTATGGCACTGGTTGATGGTGCAGATACCCCAGCAGTGTGAGCACCGAGAGATGAGGGGGTGTAGTTTATCTTGTATGCAAGTCTGAACTGTATTTTTAAAATAAAGTGTGTATTTCAACTTTTCTGAACAAAACAGTTGTAATCATTCATGTGTACAATGATGCAGCAGTATGGCAGTCAAATCATCTAATGCTAAATGAAAAAAGCTAGAGATGGGCCATATGTTTTGGAAAACTGTCAACTTGAGGGAACTTGTAGACCCTGGCACTAACTACTTCTAGTTTTGAATCTGGGACTCTGGCAGCTACTGCAGATGTTGCTGTTTTATCGTGAACATTTGCCTTTTACCATATGGTTCTGGAATAAACAATGGATCTCCAAGTTTGAAATGGATACAGTTATGATGGGGCTAATGTCTGATTCTAAAAGCTATTTTCAAATACATGTTTTGAGATGCAGAGTGCATGTTCTTCTCTATCCTCCCTTTTTTTGTTACTGTTGAGTCTCAGATCTGGAGCCCTGCTCCCTATTCTACAACCACATATTGTTATTCCTCTTCTGGAAAAAAAAATGCCATTTATGTACTTTTTTTACATAATTGCACTGAAATCTGTCTGGGAATATACCACGTATGCAAGATAACCTTACATCCTGGAATATAATACACACCTTGCTTTTGAAAGGCAGAACAAAGGAAAAAAGATCTTTTTCTTATAGTAAATCACTGCATAGCAGCTGCTAGGGAGCTAAGCCTGCTTATAGTTCTGCCCCTCGTGGATCACTGCAGATTTTACTTTGTGTTTTCTCCAGAAAACACAGAACCTGCTTTTACTCTAGATTTCACATATAAGGCATACTCCCATTTTCTAGCAGCTGGCTTTTTGGGTGGGGTAGGGAAAAAGGCATATGTTGCATGTGAGAAACGTGGTGCATTCTGGAATAGAATAAAACTATCTATGCACTACCTCAAATGCTGTTACGCTTAGGACTGTGCTTTGGATTTTTTACAAGGCACTAGTAGAAAATAATAATGCATTTTTCCAACTGAAGAGGCATTGTTTTTTTAGCTGTTCAAGAATATTTTCCCAGTGAAGTGGACTGTTCTACTAATGGCTTATTGAAAGTATGCCTCTTTTCTTACATATGTAGTTGTTTATAATTCCTTAGGGCTCATCACATAGGAAGGAAAAGGCATAATATTTCTAATTGTTTTCTACACCAAGCTATTTTGGCCATATCCTTAGGTTGGGGAGAAGATGGAGTCCTAACATTTCTGGCCAAACCTTGTTTCTTCAGACAGTAAAAAAATATGAAACATGCAACCTAAAGCATTTTTGTGTAGTGCTTCCAAACCAGGATAATTGGTAGGGGTGTGCAAAATGGAAAATATTTGATTTGGATTTAGCCCAAATCAGGGAAAGTGATTCAATTAGTTGATTCAGATCACTGTCCCGATTTTGATTCGGCCAAATCAGAATCTGAAGATTCAATGCTGATTTGGAGAATCAGCGATTTGGCCCTAGACACTTCTTTAAATATTTTTTCTACATACCTCAAGGTACCAGGCATGGCTCATGAATGCTGCGATGGGGTGGATGGAGTGTCCCACAGGAACACAGGGGGGCTCCCCGCATGCTCGGCTGTGACCCCCTTCCTGTGCCCCCCGGCTTGGCAATTGGCCACAGGGGGACCTTGGGTGTCCCCCCCAGACCTAGGAGGCACCAGATGCCTACCCAGGGGGTGTCCCCCACATGCTCCCCGGCAGACCTGTAAGTGGATCAGAAGTGCTTCTGGTCCATTTCTGAGTCTGCTGCTAAGCACGCTGGGGACCTTCCTGTGCTTCCGTGTGATGCTCCAGCCACCCCACCGTCTTGGCATTCACAAGCCTCCTGGTACCTTGAGGTGTGTAGAAAAAACATTTAAAGCTGTGTCTATGTCTGAATCATCTAATCTTTCTGAATCAATTCGGAGAGATTAAAGGGTCACCGGATTCGATTTGGGTTCGGAGATTCGGCCACCGAATCGGGCCGAATCTTTGCTGAATCAAATCAGTGACCGAAACTTCACACAGCCCTAATAACTGGTTAATGGGGTTTTCTTTCTTCTTTTAACACGGAAGCATGTGTCGAGCTTAAAATATACCTATGTGCTGGTACATATCCAGTCTTTAGAATGTAAAGATCAAAGTAATCTGTCAAAACAAGTGTTGTCTGTTGTCTTGCTTCAAAATGAGTATGCACTATTATTTCAATGTAACTTGTCACATCATTTGAACTATTCCTTTTTTTGCAAGCAGAGTGGATCTAAGACAATAAAATGTACCAAATTTGGCTGCAGTCAATACATGGCATAAAAGGAAAAAATGCTTTGAATGGAGGGAAAATGCTACACTATTACTTCATTTTACCAATTCAGTTTTACAAAGAGAACACTTTTGAACAGTGATTAAGGGTGTTTTTGTCATTATTGTTTGGGGGATCTATTTTTAAAATGTTAGCTTTGTAATGTGCATGCAAGTTTGTGTATGTAATGTGTGTATTAATCTGCTCTTTGGATCCTGAATCCTAAGAAGTGGCTGCTAGTTGTTTCAGCAAGGTTTGATTTGCTGTTTAACCTCTATGCCTGTTTGTGGATAATGTGCCAATCTATTCTTTGACCACAGAAACAGATCCTTTAATGACCAGCCAGCTTCTAGAGAGATTCATACCCACAGATAGCTCGAAGTCAAGAACTTTTGAAAATTGATCACGGAGTAGTCAAGAGCAGTGTGGCTGTGTTCCAGTTTTTACTGCTAAAGATTTGGGGAAGTCCAAAATTTCACTGTCTTGACTGTGTCTTTTTGTAGCTATTCATTTCTGTCACCTGGGGTTACTGGTACCGTGAATAGGGGCAGTGCCCGAGTGGTATTTCTTTTGAAACAGACATCTATAAATACCATGAGGACATAGACCTGTTCACTGAATACAATAAAAAATGTTATGTTCTCAGATTGCCTCAAGATGTCCTTTTGTGGGCAGGTAAGTACAAACAGCAGGCTGACAGCCAAGCCAGGTTTTTGCACAAGACTCATTGCCATAGTAAGTATGCCAGCCTTACATGGGGAACAGGCCTGCAAAACAAATGTGCTAAAGCTTGAAATGTATGTATCTTCTAACAGCCCTATTAGTGGTGTGTATGAAGAAAAACATAGATGTGGCCACACAGACTTGGGCTAATCATCTATCAACTTCAAGATCACATTTGCTGGATCAGTACTACTTGCTTCATTCAGAAAAGGTACAGAAAAACATGTGGAAATGATGGTACTTATAGGGGAATCTTCCTCCTGGAAGCTAGCTTGGGATTTTAAGAGTGAGCCTTTATATCTTTTCTAAAACCTGGGAGCAATCAGAGTTCAAAGCTTTTCTGGGAAAATGGAGATAATGTTCTTGAGCAGAGAGATGTGAACTGCCTTGAAAAGGAGTACATGTGGAATATGGAAGAAAACTTAGAGCTGAAGTCCTCCTAGTTCTCTACCAGCCCAGAAAGTATTTCAGACTCTTAAGATGGCTAAAAAACTCTGTTGCACTGACAAAAACGTGACTCTTGAAGCAATATCTCCATCTTTATCTGGACCTATGCAGCTTACTTTTTCTAATCCCAGCTATTAAATGTATAGTTTAGGAGGGCTTCCCAATAACTTTGCTGATACTTGGTATCCAGATGGAACTTAACCAAGAAATTAGATTCATTGATTTGGTCAAAGTATGGTGTGAGGGGTAACAGGTATCTCTATGACAGCTAGCATAATGGGACTCTCATTATTAATATTGAAAAAATCACAAAGAGTATCAGCTGTACCCGAGTGGATATCAAGATTACTCTGAATGATAGATTAAATACATTTATAGCTGACTTTCCAAGATGCTGTTATCTTTAAAAGACATCTTTTGGAATCAGTTTATACTATCTATAGCCATATGAAAACTAAGCAACTTTGTTGTGAAAAAAGACTATTGTAGCTCCAGTAGACTTTCTGTTCTTGATGCATTCTTATTTTAGTTCCTGGAATGTAATTCTCTCATAATTTTATTTTTAACCTTGACACCTCTTTGGAATGGGCACAAATGTGTTCATAAAGCTCTATAGTATATTTGAAGATACAAAGATTTAGAGATATACCTGCCAGTTGTCATCTATTCATCTCATTCTATCAAAAATGGCAAGGCTTCAGAGCTGCTGCAGCAAAGGAATTGAAATGCTGTACATGTTGGAATGCTTGGCATTTAGTAAACTGTATTTACAAATGAGTAATGGCTTCCTCTACAAGGTCCCTGGTGACA